CCCTCGGGCCGCCGATCCCCAGCGCGGCCGCCCAGGCCTCGGACCGCGCCGCCCGCCCCGCCGGGACCCCAAGGGCCGGACGCCCCGAGGTGGCTGCTGCCTCAAACACCGGCGCGGGCGGGAGAGGGAGAGGAAAACAGGTTGTCCCGCGCTAACAGCCCCGAAAGTAGAAGCCGGGGCAGCCCACACTTGCCTCTCCGCGGAGCCGGAGCCGCGCTGCGTGCGGGAGGAGAGTTTTGCGGCTAGAGGAGGAGCGCGCTCCGGAGGGACAGCAGGGGGCGCGGGCGCCGCGGCGCGCATTTGCATGGGCGCCCCCCCCCGCCCCCCCGGGGCTGCAGAGCGCCCGCCTGGCCGAGGCAGAGCTGGCTGCCCACGCTTGGGCAGGGGGCCCGGGCGCTGGGTTGGCTTTTCTTTTGCACAGACTGGAAGAGGCCCATTGGACCTGGGAGGGAGGAAGAGACATCAGCGCAGAGCGGGATTAGGAGCAGGGTGGCCCTTGTTTTCTGACCTGAGAGACCACTGTCAAGGGTTAATTACTGTCCCGAGACACAGCGCTGCTTCCAGACTACTGAGGTCCGGCTGCGTGGTGGTTCTGGGGGACCCCAGCTCGGGACAGAAGTGCCAGAAGCCAGCTGGCCTCGGATCTCGTGGAGAACCAGAAGTGGACAGAAGAAATTTGATTAAGCTCCGAGGAGTACTTGGCCCTGCTGCGCTGTGGGAGAGGAGAGGGCAGGCGGAGGAATGTGGGAGTGGAGCTGCAGAGTTTTCCATTTTCCTGTGTGTGTATGTTATTTTGGATATTTGTATCAAGATAATTTAATAGTATTCACATTGTGTTTCTCAGGAGTAATTGCAGATGTTTCTGAAGTAGAGAAACTGTTTTGGAAGCATGAAACAGAGAAACTGGCCGCAAAGCTGTATTAGTCAGGGTTTTACCTAGAGGAACATATAATAGAAGGAACAAATATTAACACAAGATGTGTAAGAAATTACAAGGTTGGCTTACAGTGGTCAGCCTCCGTGCCCCGTGTAAGTCTCTTATAAGTCGGCCAATGGAAGCTGAGGAGTCTGCTACTGAAAGCTGAAGGACAAGCTGGTGGCCAAAGAGTCTGCACTTAAAGCCAGGCGATGAAAGCCAAGCTGAATATGAAGATTGAAGCTCCTTGAGGAAGTGGAACATCTATGCCTTCCTTGGCCCCTTTGTATAGTCTTTTTGTGCTGAGTCACTCTGGGGTGGGCTCCGTGGAGCCCTAGGGCAGGACCAACCATGCCCTAAGGTGGGCCCTCCAGGCCCTGCAGGGCCCTCAGGGCCTGGAGCTGCCTGAACAGATTCAGCCAACTTGACATATTGTATCGACCACTAAAAAAAGCCGTATCAAAATGCAATCATATTCATTAGCTTTGACTTAAATTCATGAGAAGGGCTAAGAAACTGGGCTTGTGACATAAATGTGCGGAATGGCCACATGACAGGTGTCAGCCGTTCAAGACCCAAACCTGTCTCTACAACATTGATTTGAAAGACAAACTAAGTAATTGGAAGTAATAATGTATCACCTTGATGTATTTAAGTAACTTAATGTATTTTTTATTAGTACATGTTTGCAGTACATATTTTTTATGTGGAGTTGGTGCACATCCGTAATACATCTTGATTCCTTTTTTTATTCTGTTCCCTCCCTACTCCCTCTATCTCTTAATACCTTTCCCCTTTGTGGAACAACCACCGCTCTGCTTTCTATTATCTTTTAGCTTGCTCTTTTACATTTTTTTTTAAAAAAAAATCCCTAATTTTTTAAAGAATACAGATAGTGATAGAAAAAATAGCATTGGAAACAATACAAATTTTCACTAAAGAAAGCAATAGAAATTCAACAATGATTTCTGTATTGCTTAATGCTATTTTCAAAGTAGTTGTTCAGGCTACCAGGTATAAATGTGCAAGATTGGTTCAAAGAAAAAAAATGTAAAAATTCAAAAGAAAAAAAATGAAAAAAAGATTAAGCATTAACAGCACCTTTCAAAACACCAGCAGAAGAAATCAACAGTACAACTATTCTGCATATGTACTTAAGATCTTTTTCTTTTATTTGTCCTTTTCTCATCCCAGTTTTCCGTCACAATGAACAAATTCCTTCACTTTCACAGTATCTACTGTACCTTTCAGATTTTAATTACTCTTTCAGGTTCTCACATTAGCGAGGTAATGTGATGTCTGCATATGTGGATCTGATTTATTTCACTTATCAATATAGTCTCGAGTTGCATACATTTATCTACAAAGCCTCAAATTTATCCTGTTTTATAGCTGAAAAAATTCCATTGTGTAAAAAATACCACATCTTGTTTAACTGTTCCTCAGTTGATGGACATTTGGGTTGTTTCTAACATTTAGGTATGACAAATGGTGCTGCTATAAACATGGGTGCACATATATCGCTGTGGTCTGATGATTTCAGTTCTTTTGGAAAAAAAATATCTAGGAAGGGAATAGCTGGCTTCAGTGGGACTGCCAATCCTAGCTTTTTGAAGAATCCCCATACTGATTTCCATAATAGTTGTACAGACTGCATTGCTACCAACAGTGGATAAGGGTTCCTTGTATCCCACAGCCTCTACACCATTTGTTATTGGTTGATTTCATGATGCTAGCCATTCTTTCTGGCGAAAGATGATATCTCAGCTTTGTTTTAATATGCATTTCTTGAATGACCAGTGATGTGGAACATTTTTTCATATATTTATTTGCCACTTGTGTCTCTTCATTTGTGAAGTTTATATTCATCTCAGATATTCATTTTTGGACTGGGTCTTTAGATTTTGGAAGCCTGACTTTTTAAAATTTGTTATATGTTCTAGATAGGAGTCCTTTGTCTGAAGGATGGTCTGCTATAATTTTTTCCCCAATTTGTGGGTTTTATTTTTATTCTGCTGATGATTTCTTTTGACATGCAGAAACTTTTCAAAAAGATGAGATCCCAATGGCTGATTCTCTGAAGTATTTCCTATGCAGTTTGATTTTTGTTCATGAACTCTCTACCCACCCCTGTGTCCTTTATGTTTGTACCTACTTTCTCTACCAGAAAATTTAATGTTTCAGTTTTAATATTTAAATCTTTGATCCATTTTGACTGTAGTTTTATGCATGGTGATATGCATGGGTCTATTTTTAGCTTTTAGCATGTAGACAGCCATTTCCAGCACCATTTACTAAAGAGGCTATCTTTCTTCCAGTGAACATGTTTGGAACTTTTGTCAAAGATATGTGGCTGAGTGTGTTTGTAGTTTTGTCTGTGTCTTCTAATGTGTTCCATTGATCCTCAGGTCTGTTTTACCCATACCATGCTGAGTTTATCACAGTAGCTTTGTAGCATAATTTCCAGTCAGGGATTGGAATACCTACTGCCTTTCCTTTGTTACCCAAGATTGCCTGTGCTATTCTTGGTGTCTTCTGGTTCCAGATGAAACTTAGGAATTTTTTTCTAGATCTCGGAGTTATACTAATGGTATTTTAATTGGAATTGCATTGAATCTGTGTAACAATGTTGGGAATATGGCCATTTTCACAATGTTGGTTGTTCCTATCCATGAGCAAGGAATATTTTTCCATTTTCTGAAAACCTCTTTATTTTTTTTCACAGTAATATAATTTTTTCTGTGTAAATCTTTTATTACCTTTGTAAGACTAATTCAGAAGTGTTTCATTTCTGGGAGTATTTCTGTGAAAGGCTTTGTTTCCGTAATTTCTCTCTTGGTGTGATTTTGTGTATAGAAATGTTGCTAATTTTTGAGTGCAGACTTTGTATCCTGCTATGCTACTGAAAGTGATTATTAAATCTGCAAATGTCTTGGTAGATTTTGTGGGTTCTTCTATGTGCAATAGCGTGTCATCTGCAAATAATGATAATTTCACTTCTTCCTTTGCAATCATTAAATTCATTTTATTTCTTCTTGTCTAATTAGTCTGGCTAATGTTTTCAGAACTATATTCAACAAGAGTGGTGACAATGGGGATCCTTGATTTTTCCTGATGTTAAAGTGAAGGCTTTCAATTTTTGTTCATTTAGCGTGACATTGGCTGTTGGGTTTTCATAGATGGCTTTTTTCAGGTTGAGGTAAAGAGCATCAATTCTAATTTTCTATAAGGTTTTTATCATGAATGAGAATTGGACTTTGTCTAAAGCTTTTTCTGTATCTATTGAGATGACCATGTGATTTTTATTTTTGGCTCTGTTGATGTGGTGTATTTTGTATGGATTTGTATATATTAAACCATCGCTGCATTCCTGGGATGAATGGCACTTGGTGATGCATAATCTTGATAATTTGATACATTTGTTTACTAGTATCTTATTGAAGATTTTTGCATTTATCTTATTAGGGGATTGACCTGTAGTTCTCTTTTTCAGTTGGGTTCTTCTCTGGTATTGGTTTCAGAGTAATACTTGCCTCCAAGAATGAGTTTGGGAGAACTGCTTCCCTTTCAATTTCATTAAAGAGTTTGAGAAGTATTGCCATTAGGTCTTCTGTAAATTTCTTGTAGAATTGAACTATGAGTCCATCAGGACCTGGACCTTTATTTCTTGGTAGGATTTTGATTCCATTTTCAATTTCATTGACTGATATTGGGTTATTCAGAATTTTTTTATTTTCAGCTGATATTTAATTCAGCTTTGATAGTTCATACATACCTAAGAATCTGTCCATTCCTTCCATATTTTCCATCCTGAGAGAGTAAAAATTTTGGAAATAGGTATTGATGATGTTCTGAATTTCTATAGGCTCTGTAGTGATTTTACCTTTTCATCATTCATTGCATCAATTTGAAATTTTTCTTTCCTTTTTTTAAATGAGGTTTCCTACGGGTTTATAAATTTTGTTTATTCTTTCTAAGAACCAACTCTTTAACTCGTAAATTGTTTGTATTGTCTTCTTTATGTCCATTGCATTTATTTCTTCTCTGATCTTTATAATGTCCTACCTTTGGGCTTTTGGCTTGATTTGCTCTTCTTTTTCTAGGAATTTAAGGCACAGCATAAGATTATTTATTTGGGCTTGTTCTGTTGTCCTGATGTGAGAATTTATCACTATAAATTTCCCTCGTAAGACAATTTTCTTTGCATCCCACAGACTCTGGTAAGTTGTGTCTGCATTTTTGTTTGATTGTAAATATTATTTAATATCTTTTTTAATTTCATTTGTGACTCATTGATTGTTCAGGAGGGTTTTTTAGTTTTCATGCACTTATAGAATTTTTGCTGCTTGTTTTGTCAATAATTTCCAGTTTCATTGCACTATGGTCAGATAATATGCATGGGATAATTCTGATTCTTTTGTGTTTGCTTAAGCATATTCTATGT